TAACTTTGGTGTGATAAGACGCTAATGCCCTGATCTAACTAACAACCAGAGTCATTCGCATTGTTGTTTCTCAGAGACGGTCTTTCAGTGTTTTCTCTCCATCGGGGATGCTAGTGAATTAGGTCTGGGATGAAAGTCAGTGGTGCAATGGAAGATGGTGACAACTCTGCAGATTGTGAAAACGTAGGCGTGAAATCAGGAGTACCTACTGGAACTACTGCGCAAAGGTTTCAGAGGACATCAAAGCTGCCTGTGAAGAGAAAGTTGGACGCTTTACCTGCTCCAAGTAAGTGGTTTGATTCTTAGTTTGTCAAATTTGATTATGAAGACTCTTTTATAAAGATTTTGTTATACTTAGTTTGAGATACTTAGTTTGTGACTTTTTGTTATTAAGATTAGTATATGAATTTGGCACTTTCAGTTAGGGTACCATTCTATGAAAGTAGCAGAGATGATGGAATAAATAGTGATGATTTCAGTGATATATTTGTTGAATTACCTCCACTCAACAACTTTGTGAATGCTGCAAATGATGATAATACCTCACAATTTTATGAAGGTATATGCAGTGTAAATGATTCAATTTTATAAATGTATTTTAGTAAATGATTTGTTGTCCTTTCGATATATTGTTGATATAGATGTTACTTAATGTGCTATATAGATATTCAATTTGAACAAATTGTTGATGGACTAGATGGGTATGAACCCTATGAATCAGATGATTCGAATGAATCAGACGGAGAATTAGATCACTGTAGTTCTGATACAGAAGAAGGAGTGATAGGGATGAAGTTCTAGGCACAAGAAATGGGGAGGATATAGGTGAGGTGTTGATTGGTATGCCACACATATCCTATGACTGCAATGAAGAAACTTTTACTTCCTCAAATTATGTGCAATGGGAAGACCAATTAGACTTGGCAATAGGAAAACAATGGGCAACTATGGATGCACGCAGAAAGTACATTAGAATATAATGTATGCCATCAAGAATAAATTTGAGATTCTCTTTCAGAAAAACTGTGCAGATAAGCTCATCTTGAGGTGTAAAGGGGAAACATGTCCTTGGAGGTGTTATGTTATTAGGAAAAATGATGGTCACACCACTGAACTGAAGTCTCTCCAAGAAGAATATACCTGTGAGAATGATGGCAGGAACAAGAATAGAGTGGCAAATGCTAGATGGATAGCTACTATGCGGGCTCAGGACATGAGGCTGCACCACAAAAGTTACACACCCCAAGATATCATTGTTATAGCTTGGAGTAGGTGGACTTTAAGCATTTCATATTGGCAAGCTTGGAATGCTAGGTTGATGGCACTTGAAGAGCTCCATGGAAATTATGAGAAGAGTTATACTCAAGTTCCAGAATTGTGCAGACATATTCTAGCTTCTAATCCTGGTAGTTTGGTTGATTGTAAGTGTGACTCAGAAAACAAATTTCAATATTTGTGTGTTGCTTTTAGGTGTAGCTTGGAAGGGTGGAGAACTAGGTGCAGACCATAGTAGTGTTGGATGGTTGCTTTCTAAAGGGGAAATACGGAGGAGTCTGTCTAGCAGCTATTAGCATGGATGGGAATAATGGACTATTTCCTCTAGCAGTCTTCATATGTAGAAAAGAAGATGGTGAGAACTGGGACAGGTTTCTGACATTAATAGCTCCTGAGCTGAAGAAACACCCTTTGCAACTTACTGTCACATCTGATAGGGCTCAAGCAATCATAACAAGTATTTAGACACATTTGGGAGGCTGCAATCCTAGAAGCTGCTTTAGACACATCTTTAAGAATATGAGTAAGTGGTGGAAAGGGGAACACATAAAGGAACTAGCTTGGGCTACTGCTTCAGCATACAAAAAGGTCCACTTTGAAAGAAGTCTTCAGAGATTGGATGAGGCACCGATTGGTATCAAGGACTATTTACTGGAGATTGGTCCAGAGTTATGGTCAAGGGCACATTTCGATACAACATGTAAGAGTGACCACCTGACAAATAACTTCAGAGAGAGCTATAACAGTTTCATATTAAGTCAAAGGGATAAACCTGTGTGTTCAATGATAATAGGTATATCATTCCTTTTAATGAAGATTATGTATGATAGGAAAGTTCAGAGTAGTACATGGAATGAAAATGATGTGGTACCTAGGGTTGCTGCAATCCTGGCAGCTTATAAAGAGAAGCATAATGAATATCTGACTTGCCCTTCAGGTGAAGGGACTTTCTGTGTGAAAAAAATTACTGGGGAACACTGGATTATCAACTTACACAAGCAAGAGTGTGAGTGTTGTGAGTGGCATTTCACAGGCATACCATGTGTACATGCAGTCCGTTTGATAAGCCATTTGAGACAGCCACTATCTCAGTATGTTCCTATTACCTTTACTTTACTTGTTTGTTTAATTTTTAAATTGAAACTGAAAGCTTCTTATGTATTTGACTTCATCTTGTTGATGGTTATAGATTTTGTAGTCCATTACTAAGTGTCAAGGCCTACAAAGCATGCTATCAAACAAATATCAAACCAATATCACATGAAAGTGATTGGCCAGAGGTAGTATGACCACAAATCTAAAGCCAATATATACTGCCAAATAAATTCCATAGTCATTAGGCACACATGGTAACCATTTTTTAAACATTGTGCAGGGAAATGAAGTTCTATTGCCACCTAAGCTTTCAGGAGCCCCCGAGAGGCCTAAAAACAATAGAATAAGGGGGCATGATGAGACCGAAACACAATCAAGCAGTCAGAAGAAATGCACCAAGTGTCTATCTTGTGGGCACAACAAGAGGTCATGTCAAGGAGGGTCGGTTGCTAGAGGTGGGGGAGAGGTGCTAGTACTGATGGAAGGGGTGATGGAAAAGTTGGTTCAATGGGTGTTGCAAGGGCTGGTGCAAGGGCTGCTTCTAGAGCTGCTAGGGGTGGTTCAAGGGGTGTTGCAAGGGGTGCTTCAAGGGGTGCTAGAGGTGGTTCAAAGGGTGCTGGAAGAGGTGGTAGAGGGGGTAGAAGAGGTGGTGGAAGTACTACTGCCTACCACCGGTAAGTATATATATAGGGGATGGTTCAAATAAAAAGAGGTCTTAACGTGCAAAGTGAAAAGTTTACACTTTTTCATGTTTCGCTTGCACTTTTTCTTGCTTTCGTTGCACTTTTTCGCGATAGCTAAAAAAAATGGTTTATTTACAAAACTGCCACCGTCATTTTGGCCGAATTTGGCCAAAATCAAAATGGCCAAAAAGTGCAACGCAAACAACAAAAAGTGCAAGCGAAACATGAAAAAGTGAAAACTTTGCACTTTGCACGGGAAGACCACTTTTCATTTGAACTTATCCCTATATATATATATATGCAGAGTTGTTGACACAACTAGTGTTTACCACACGTAGTTGTTGCTACAACCAGTTTTGGTCACTGCACAGATGCAATATATGTGCTCTAACTGGTTTTTTGGTGCTTGTAAATTCTAGACATAAAGCTCACTTTTTTGTATAACTACTAAAGCTAACTATTTTGCTAGAATTAGATAACAACAAAGTATTTACAAATTACACTTGCAGTTTTTTGCTCAATGTAATATGAAAGGTATGTAGACCAAAACTACATTATTATATAATGAGTTTTTTTACTCATAATCTGAATTACATCACATACTTGCCCTTCATATGTTACTTTCCCCCATCTTGTTCTATAGTCACTTTAACACTATGGTTTTGCATATGACTGCTTATTGTTGCTTCAGTTGTGGATGGTGTTTCCTTGTTTGGTACATATGTTGCTATTTCTCTGTGTTGGTGAATCTACCCATTTGAATGCTTGGCATTGGGGCTGACCTTTGCATCTTAGGAATCTGCATCCCTATATTACTTCTTGATTGTTGAGATGTGTATAGCTCCATGTTGTTTGGGCAGCTCTCTGTACAAGGCATGTGTTTATAGGTGCATGACTTCGCCCAATGACCTTGTTTCCACAATGAAAATACTAAAGAATAGAGAATATGTTATACTTGTTAGCAAGAAAAAATTAAATTTACAAAATTCATACCTTAGACCACCTTGTTCCTCCTTCATGTGCAACCATACGATATTTGGGATGAGCATACATACATATTCACTCCTCAGAATACCAGCTTTTATAGGGAGTAATGTGGAACATGTGGTTACATAGTGTTGGATGAGCATTTATGAGTCATTTATGGTTGGTAGTATATTTATGACTAGTAAGTATTCAACAACATTATAGGACCACCACACAGAAGAATCAGTGGGTTGTTCACTACTTTAATTTGTGTTGTTGATTAAATTTATGCTCTGATAATTCTTTTTTAGTTTGTAATTATGTTCTTATCTTTTTTGTTTATATTGTATCTGCATTTTCAATAGGCCTGAGTTTTTTGTTCTGAGCTGTGTTCTCAGATTTGTGTTCTGGGTTTTCTGTTTGAGTCAATAGGTCTGGGTTAGTTTTGTGTTCAGTTTTTCTTCAGGACTCAGTTTTGTATCATTGGGTCTCTGCAAATGGGAAAGTTAGGAATGCTGCTGTGATGGTGAAGTATTGGTAGTTCTGCAGAAATGTGAAGATTGATCTTCTCATAATCTTTGATGCTGTGATGGTGAAGTATTGTTTGTTTTGTGTGTATGTGAAACTCTCCTGAGCCAGCATATGTGTTAACTTAGGGTGTAAATACTAAGGATTATAGAAGTCTGCTAGGAGGGTATTAAAGGCATTTATTATTTTTTACAAGTCTAAATAACCCACTTTTTATTCCTTTTATTTACAAAATTACCAATTTGTACTAGTCTTCGGCCGGACGATGTCGTTCGTCCCGATGGCGTCATTCACGGGATAGAGCGCGTGTTGATCCCCAAATCGGTGCAGCAACATTTCAACAACAGGAGGAGCTTGAGTTCCATCTCCGCCGTTCTCCCCACCGGAGCACCGGAGATAGACACCAGAAACCGCCGAATCCTGAAGAAACCGACTAGCTCTTCCCCTGCCGGTGCCCCATCTGGTTTATCTGTCTATGACGCCTTGGCCCCGGGCCCATCACTAGCTCCGGCGCCGGCTCCGGGACCCGGCGCACCCCACCGTCACTTCGACGGAGAAAGCCAAGTCAAGGACTTCATCCAAACCCTACTGCATTACGGCGGGTACAACGAGTTCGCCGATATCCTTGTAAACCTGACATCATTGGCTACTGAAATGGGAAAACTAGTGTCTGAAGGTTACGTGTTGACGGTTTTAGCCCCCAACGATGAAGCCATGGCAAAGCTTAGCGTCGATCAGCTTACCGATCCCGGTGCACCGGAGAGAATAATGTATTATCATCTAATCCCGGAGTACCAAACGGAGGAGAGTATGTATAATGCGGTCAGAAAGTTCGGAAAAATCCCAAATGGAGAGTATGTATAATCTTTAGGAGAGTATGTTGCACACTGGCATTCACAGTGGGCTGCAGCAAGGGCCCTAACACCAGCACCGGGTTGATCACCACTATGTCCACTCCTTTTCTCCGCGCCTCCTCCCACGCCGTCTTCTCCGCTACCGTCTTCCCGTAGCAGTACCAATTCTTGGTGTTCTTGCAAAACTCCAGATCACTCCAACAGCTCTCATCCACAATCGTGTCCGGATCTCTATTCGGGTCCATGTACACCGCACCGATTGAGGATGTGAACACCACCCGCCCCACTCCACCTTCCGCCGCTGCTGTTATCACGTTCCTCGTCCCTATCACCGCTGGCTCCACCATTTCCTCCTTCATTCATGCACATTTCATTTCAATATATTATGGATTTTAACTTCTAAATAAGAGAATATTTATATATGGTATCCCACATGGACCGTACCACCTATTTATATATCATCGTCGATTTATATGCACATTTGATTTTTGTTTCGTATAGATTTCATTAACACTAAAAAATAAATATAAATCATAAGGTGATATATATCTACCTTTGCTTCATCAATAGCCAATGTGTAGCAATGCTTATGAATTGATCTTTATTTACTCGACTATCATGAACATGTGAATGCATTTCAAGTGGCGTCAATGCATCATCAAAGTACATGTTCTTCAATTCATTTTTCCAAGTCCTCCACTTAGCACTCATGTTCTCAAGTGTCCACACATTTATGCATTTAAATGCCTCTCCTTCTGTAACCTCTTTTCCATCCAATGTTCTAAATTGAAACTTTTCCTAGAATTTATAAGAACAACAAATGCAGTCAGTTTATAATTATTGGTACAAAGAAGAGCCACTATTGTTGTAAGTACCTTCACTATCTCCCACATTTCTTCCTTCTTTCTAACTGGAACGTCACGCCAAATTGTGTAAGTCAAGGGGGCGAAATCAGACATTCTAACCATGGTACCAATGAATCTACTTAGCTTTGCAGCTGCATCACCTATTGGTATATGATGAGCATTCACAACAACTATAATTTGTTCCTCTTTGTCCAAATCCCATATCTCAGCCATACGCGTGTATCCTCGAAGCTTTTTATGCTTCGGTTGAACTAAATAAAATGAGATAAAAAACTTGGTTAAAAGAAATAATACTAAAATAGTTTGATATCAAACAAGGCAGTCATTTAGCCAATAGCAGGTTCAATATCAAGTCCTGTTTTTGGTACATAACAACATAGGGAGTAAATATGAATGAGTATTTCATGTAAACATGTACGTCCTCTTACACTGGTTCTTATAGTGTATGCTCTGATCTAGAAATTTTTCAATACTAGACTCCTGGTTTGCTATAAGTTGAAAACATACCAATGACTTCTTCCACTTCTTCAGTGACATGTTCCACATTATTTGTAGACGAAACTGATTGTTCATTATTTTGACAATGCTGTGAAGCCTCCGAATGCAATTGCGAACTTGAAGCACGTAATGCCTTTGTAGTTTTTAATCGCTTACGTGCCATTCCCAAACCCTGTGTGTTTATAAATTAGATTGTCATATTAGATTTGAGAAGCAACAAAGCAAAACTATAAATTAGATTTGAAGTACATGTGTTTACCTTATAAAGAATGCTGAAAGAAAAAAGAAGGGATCTAGCGTTTATTTAAAAAAAAATTCACTGAACCATAAAATTACTGTTATTAATATATACAAAAACAATATATTTATATTTATTTGTTAAAACATATCCTCCTCAATGTATTCATCAGCAGGATCATCTTCCAGAAGCTCATTTTCCATCTCTGGTGTAATTTCCACTCCCTCGTTTATATACTCATCTCTAACCCAAATTGAAGGATTATTTGAGTCATCACTCTCAAGGTTTGGATTGTGAGAACTATCTCTTTCATGTCTTCTTTCAACATATGATTCATCACCCATATCAAAGGCATCTCTAAGCTTTGCATGTCTAGCAAGAAGCCACCCGTCATCTCTATTATCCTCCACATAGTAAACCTTCTTTACTTGTGTAGCAAATACAAAAGGATCATCTACCAAATTTGCTCCACTATTTGTGAGGTGTGAAAAGTTGACAAGTGTAAAACCAAACTTGTCTTTTTTGCAACCTCTATTTAGATCGACCCAATCACATCTAAACAAGACAACTTTAAATTTTCCAGAATAGTTCAACTGAATGATGTCAGTTAAAGCCCCATAATAGTTAACTTCTCCTTCGATGGGTCTTGCATCTCTTGAACTTGCATAACTTGTTGTTCTTGATGACACTAAAATCCCACTATTCTGAGTTTTTAACCACTTCTCGCGTGCTTTAGTGTGGAACCGAAAGCCATTTACAACATAACCAGTGAATCTTCTAACTGTATCAAGGGGACCACGTGAAAGAAATCTAAGCTCATCCGTGACGAATGCATTTCCTTGATTTTCTAAATTCGCAACCTATAGATTTTCATAAGCAGTATAAGTTAATTAACTGAATGATTAAGAAGTTGTACATGCTGCAATTGGTAAATAAAATTTCACTTACATGATCATGAAACCAACTATGAAAAGTTTCACTATGAAGCTTTTGCAACTCATAAGCTGAAAGACGAGGGGAACGATGTCTTCTCCGAAGATGCTCTTCATGTTTTCTACAACAACAATTTCCTTAAACTTAGAAATAAGTATAAGAAACTTTCATATAGGATTAAGGTTTCAAGTTCATACCTTAACAACGGAGCTACTGCATCATGATTAAAAAGCACATATCTATGTGCTTGTGTCAAAGATAATTTGTCAAGTTCAACACGTGATACCCTCTTTCTCTTATTAACATTGAACCCCTTATGTTTTGTCCTCCCAAGTGGTCTTCCAACGTGATTAAAAATTGATACATCTCCATCAAATAAGATTTCACCTTATTCATTCCGGCGAGATTGATTGAAACTCGTTTCAACCCCCTCCAAGTATCTTGAACAAAAAGTCAAACACTCATTTTGCTAAAAACCCTTCTGCAATAGAACCCTCTGGATGAGCTCTATTACCAACGTAAGACTTAAGGGTAAGAAGAAACCTGTTAACAACATTAAACTTAACTACGTTAACAACCATATGATATTAAATAAGACAATTAAAAGATAATAAGGATTTAGATATCACCTTTCAATGGGATACATCCAACGGTATACTACTGGGCCACCGACTTTGGCTTCATGCACTAAATGCATCACTAGATGTACCATTACCGTGAAGAATGAAGGAGGAAAGATTTTTTCCATTTCACAAAGGATTAAAGCAGCTTCAGACTCCATTACTTCAAGGGTGGCTTGTTCTAAAACTTTGGAACAAATAAATTGAAAAAAATTGCACAAGTCAATTAAGACGGAGCACACCTTCTCTGGCAAGCACCATCGTATTGCCACAAGAAGAAACTCTTGCATTAAAAGATGACAATCATAACTCTTAAGACCAATTAACTTTCGTTCTTTAACTTGCACACAACGGGAAATATTGGAAGAGTATTCATCTGGAGTTCTCATTTCCTTAAGAATTTTCAAGAAAGCATTTTTTTCAACCACATTCATTTGATAAGATGCTTGCGGTAAGTACTTTGTGTTGCCTCCGGGACGAGTCTTTGGATGAAGAATACTCCTTATACCCATGTCAACGAGATCAAGGCGTGCTTTATAATTGTCCTTTGTCTTTCTCTCTTGCCCTATTAGTGTACCAAAAATGTTATCACAAACATTTTTCTCAATATGCATAACATCGAGATTGTGGCGTAGTAGAAGATCCTTCCAGTATGGTAATGTGAATAAAATACTCTTCTTCTTCCATGGTCCACCTACATTAGCAACCAAGTCTTCTAATTGTCTTAACACTTCATCGCCAGATGGTGATAAAGGGGCCATTCTAAACTCACAATTCCCATCAAAAGAATATTTATCCTTCCTAAATCGATGATTACTTTCCAGCCATCTACGGTGTCCCATGTAGCAAAACTTTCCACCATTTTTTAGCCATTTTGATTCAGTATCATATCCACAACAAGGGCATGCATACTTTCCCTTCGTACTCCATCCAGACAAATTAGCATATGCTGGAAAGTCATTAATAGTCCAAAGCAAAGCTGCACGCATCTTAAACTTTTGCTTCATAGACACATCATATGTCTCAACACCAACTTGCCAAAGTTCACGTAATTCATCAAGTAAAGGTTGCATGAACACATCCAAATCATTCCCAGGACCTTTTGGACCAGGAATAAGTAAGGATAGTATGAAATTGGGTTGTTTCATACACATCCATGGAGGAAGATTATAAGGAATGAGTACAACGGGCCAAGTACTGTGGCTTATATTTATCAATTTGAAGGGATTAAACCCATCAGAAGCAAGTCCCAAACGAACATTACGAGCATCGGAAGCAAATTGTGGGTTAAGAGAATCAAGGTGCTTCCAAGCAAGAGAATCTGCAGGATGCCTTTGTCGACCATCTTTTGTGCGTTCCTCATCATGCCATCTCATTGAAAGAGCAGTTTTAGATGACATAAATAACCTCTGGAGTCTTGGAATTAAAGGAAACCAAAGCAATATCTTTGCAGGTTTTTTCTTCCTTTTCACAAAAGTGTCTTCACCCTCATTTACACATTCCTTCCACCTAGATGCACCACACTTGTGGCAAATTTCTTCTTTTTCCTTATCCTTCCAGTACAGAATGCAGTTATTGGGACATGCATGAATTTTTTCATACCCCAAACTCAAGCCACTAATCATCTTTTTCATTTCACGGTAGGACTCTGGCATTGTATTTCCTTCTGGAAGAGTGAGTTTTAGAATCTTTAAGAGCATAGCATACTCATGGAGTTATTTGTCCATCCATTAAAACACTTGATGTGAAATAAATGGATGACAAATGATAACTTTGAAAAGCTCTTGCAATTTGGATATAACTCCACGTCTGCATCTTTGAGTAAATTGTAGAACTTGTCACTATCAATTTTATGTCTAGACTGATCGACATCATCATTACCGGAGTGTAAGCCTTCAAAGTCTACATTCATTTCAAAGTTAGGCACCATATCATGCAACAAGTCATGAATTTCATGATTTATGTCGTCATCTATATGGGTATGTGCGGTAGAAGTAGTTTCCTCGAATACCTCACCATGAAAAACCCATCGAGTATATCCTTTAAGAAAACCATCACATATTAAGTGATCGAGTGCTGTTTCCCTAGACACTTTATAAGTGTTGACACAAATGACACAAGGACAACGAATCTTCCCATCTTCAGCGGATCTAGCAAAGGCAAAATCTAGAAATTCGTTGACCCCATTAATGTATTCCGCGCTAACTCTTGAT